GGAAGGATAGGTGACGATGATGGGAGGAGAAGAAGATAGAAGACCAGAAAGAAGAAGAAGATGATGAGGGGAGGAAACAGGAAGAGATGGGGCAGGAGGTGGGAAGCAGGAGGAAGGAGACAGAAGTAAGAAGAAGAAGAAGAAGAAGAAGAAGAAGAAGAAGAAGAAGAAGAAGAAGAAGAAGAAGAAGATGAGGGGAGGAACAGGAAGAGATGGGTGACGAGGAGGTGGGGAAGAGGAGGAGGAGGAAGAGGAAGAAGAAGAAGAAGATGAGGGGAGGAAATCAGGAAGAGCGATGGGGTGATCGTAGGAGGTGGGGGGAATGAAGGAAGGGAGGAGATGATAGAATGCAAGAAGAAGTAAGAAGATTGAGGGGCGAGGAACAGGAAGAGATGGGTGACGAGGAGGTGGGGAAAGAGGAGGGAGGAGGAGGAACGAAGACAGAAGGAATGAAGAAGAAGTACGAAGAAAGAAGAAGAAGAAGAAGAAGAAGAAGAAGAAGAAGATGAGGGGAGGAACAGGAAGAGATAGGTGACGAGGAGGTGGGGGAAGAGGAGGAGGAGGAAGAAGAAGAAGAAGAAGAAGAAGAAGAAGAAGAAGATAGGTAGAAGAAGAAGAAGATAGGAAGAAGAAAAGATAGAAGATAGAATGAATGAAGCCAGATAGAGAAGAAGAATATTAGATAATGAGAAGACGAGGAACGAGGAAGACGTAACGGGGGTACGAAAAAAAGAAGGAGGAGGACGAGAAGATGATGATAAGGAGAATGCAGGAGGAGGCGGTGGCGGTGACGTGACGGCTCACGCATGCGCGGGCCCCTCCGCCGACCTTCGGGCCGAAGTTTACCAAGACGCGAACTGAATTTCATCCGTCAACACGCCGCCGCGTACACATTACACCCGCGGTGACCCCCGCTCTCACGAGGCCGACCACACGTCGGAGCGCAGGCTGCCCTACCTCCGCCCGTGGCAGCCTCCCCCCCCCCGGCCGCCCCGTCAAGCATTCTGCCGCGTATACGCTCATAAATTACCCCGCGCCCCCGACCACCCCCGGGCGCGAGGTCTCCCCTCCTATTTGCCCGTCACTTTAACGAGGTCGGTGTTTACGACAGATGAGCCGGCAGCGCGGCCGGGGAGATCGGGCGGAAACTTATTAGGCGGCACGGTGGGATTGTTTGGCGGAGGGAAAGAGTAAGGAACACTGGCCGGGGTGTGGTGTGTGATACCGGAAGAGTGGGCACGGCGCGGCTAAAGAGGACGGGTGGAGAGCGATAGGGAGGGAGAGAGAGGGCGGGGAAGAGAGAGCCGAGAGAGAGCAGAGAGAGCGAGAGATGGCAGAAGAGAGAAAGAGAGAGGGAGAGAGAGAGGAGGGGAGGAGAAGGGGCGGGGAAGAGAGAGGGCGGGAGGAGAGACAGATGAAAGGCGAGAGGAGGGGCAGAGAGGGGGGAGAGAGAGGAGGGAGAGGCAGAGAGGAGGGCGGGAGAGGGCAGAGAGGGAAGAGAGAGCGGCAGAGGCAAGAGCGGGAGGGCGGAGCGGAGACAGAAAGAGAGGGAAGCGGGAGCGAGAGAGAAAGAGAGGGCGAAGAGAGAGAGAGTAGAGAAGAGAGAGAGAAGAGCCAGGCGAGCGAAAGACGCTTTTCTCCGCTTTCCTGCCCTGTCCCCCCTTTGAACCGTCGCCTCTGGGCTGTCAGCTGCCTCCTCCTTCCCCTGCCCCGTGCGCTCCACGCCCGCTGCTCCTCCTCGCCTGCAAGCCTCTCCTTGTGTCCCTCGGCCCCTTTCCCCTTGCTAAGCAGTGGCCCTGCTTTTACTCCTGCGGCCTTCCCCTGCTTCTACCTATCCCCCTTCCCGCTGCTCGGACTACTCCTATCCGCCCTCTCCTGCTCGATTACTCTTATCCCAGTTCCCTTTGCTCCTACTCTAATCGCCCCTTCCCACTGCTCCTACTCTATCCCCTTTCCCTTGCTCCCTACTTCTATCCCGCTTCCGCTTACTCCTACTCTATCCCCTCACCTGCTCCTACTCTATCCCCTTCCCGCTGCTCAATACTTTATCCCCTCCCTTGCTTGCTACTTTATCCCCCTTCTTGCTCCTCCTCTAGCCCCCTTCCCCTGCTCCTACTCTACCCCCTTCCCCTGCTCGCCTACTCTATCCCTTCCTCTGCTCCTACTCCTATCCCCTTCCCTTGCTCCTACCTGCTATCCCTTCCCTTGCTCCTACTCGACCGCCCTTCCCTTACTCCCACCTACTTCTATCCCCTCCCTTGCTCCTACTCTATCCCATTCCCAGGCTGCTCCTACTCTATCCCCTTCCTTGTCCCTACTCTTACCCCTTCCCCTGCCTACTCTATCCCCTTCCCGCCTGCTCCTACTCTAGCTCCCCTTCCCTGCTCCTACTCTAGTCGCCCTTCCGCTCTGCTCCTACTCCTATGCCCGCTTCCATTATCTCCTACTCCTATCCCCTTCCTTTACTCCTATCCTATCCCCTTCCGTTGGCTCCTAATCTGTTCCTCTGCCGCTTACTCCTACTCTATCCCCCTTCCCCTGCTCCTACTCTACGCCCCGCTTCCCCTGCTCTTCCTCCTATCCCCTCCTTCCCTTCCTACCTATGCCCCTTCCCTTGCTGCCGAACTCTATGTGCCCTTCCCCTGCTCCTACTTTATCGCCCTCCCTTGCCTCCTACTCTATCCCCTTGCCCCTGCTCCCTACTCTAATCCCCCCTTCCCCTGCTCGCTACTTCTATCCTCTTCCCCTTACTCGTAACTCTATCCCCTTCCCCTGCCCCATACTCTGGCTATGCCCCTTCCCCTGCTCGCGCCTCTCTCATCCGCCTTCCCTTTGCTCCTACTCTGCCTCCTTCCCTTGCTCCTACCTCTGCTGTCCCTTGCCCATCCGTCTGGGCAGGTCGATATAGGTTGTCTCACCATGTGCCGTTTTAATTTAAGTAAGTGCACGCATAATCTTTTGTGGGCAAAACTCGCACAATTGCACGAGCGAGCGCACTGCAAGAGCTCGCCAACAGCACACGCACTGTCGTAACGACCCGACAAGCACGCAACAGCGCGCGACCGGGCACACACAGATCACGCACGCACAAAGGCACACAACAAACAGCGCACAGCACGCCAACGCACACATAAACTACAATAGCTGGACACCGCACTAGCACGCACGAAACGGCACACACACAACACACACACACCACACACCACACACACCACACACACCACAACACACACAGCACTCACGCCGTACCACCACGCCACATGTACACATGCACAACACCCATACGACAGCGCACGCAGCGCACAGCCATGCACACGCACAGATCACGCACGTATGCACACATACACGCGAATACGTATACACTACGAGATTGACTTGGGTACACACTACACACACAGGTTTTAAGGTGTCACCAATGCCACACACGACGCACGGCCACGCACGCACGCAGCGCACACAGTTTGGGGGGCGGGTTCGTGTTGTGCGCTAGTGCACACGACAGCTGTATCGATGTGCGGTGGCGTGCCGCGGACGCCTCAGTCGTGCAGGTCCTAACACAATGAACACACATGTCCATACACACGGTATAACGTTACGCCACACGGTGCCGGCGTGCACACACATTCATCACATACACACATACGTGGCGTACACAGTATCGATCAGTCTACTCTGTCACTCACAAACTTGCACTAGGCTGCTGGGTGGCTCATAGGCTGATACGAGGTAGTTAACGAGTTTTGGACCAAGGAGCGAGCCGGGCGAAGAAAGGCTGCTGGACACGCGTGGCGACGCACAGGTTAAGCTGAGGACCGAACGCCACGCCACGCATCGCACCGCTCGCAAAGGCCACTCCGCGCGCGTCGCGCGATATATATATATATTATATATATATATATTAAAGAGCTCATAGAGAGCTCTCCTATTATGAGCTCTTGATATATATATATATATAATACGTTCTTCAGGCTAACGTCAAGTTTCTCAGAACTCTAGGCAGGTAATGTATTTTTGGCGTTTTTATTGGGGCTGAGTGGAGGAGCGCAGGTGGTACTCGTGGGGCATATTTATAACAGGGCAAAGGCGTAAACATTCGTTTTCGTTTTAACCACACGGTCCCACGCACGCCACTGCTACTCACGGGCACGCACAGCACGCGCGTCGACGATGGTCAGAAAAGCACTTCGTAATAACCCAATTAAACTGAACCAATACAAAAATATATGCGCAGCGCAAAAAACATGCGATCTAATGCCTGCCAACGACCCCACTCGAACATATCTCCACTATGCCGATCGCTCACGTCGGCCAAAATTAACCCTCCCCTTTTTTCACCCCACGAAACTAATAACTAGGCTGATGCGGCAAATTGGCCGTCATCAAAAAAGCTGAAATCGTAAGTATTGCAGGGATATCTATATATATATATATAAGTATATATACGGCTATAGCCATATATCTAATAATAAATACATATATACATATTATATATATATAATAAATAATATATATATATATATTATATAAATAATATATTATATATATATATATATTATATATCATATATTTACGGAGCCATCAGCGTGATTGATCAGCACGGGTGACGTCATAGAACCATGGCGCACTGCCTGCTTCGTTCGTATATCGAGAGTATAAAACACACGAACATTGTGGCTCAGTCACTCTTACTTGCGTGTCTACATTATTGGCATTACTCTCAATTATTTATTATTATTATTTTATTATTTTATTATATATACATATTATTTCTGTTGTACGCGTTTGTCAGAACGACCCTTTGTGACCTGGCCCACATCGAGTGGAGCTAAGTTTATCAGCGCCCCTCACCCTCACAGCCGGCGTTTCCGGCCGGATGTTCGTCAAGCAGATCATGTGCGCCACGTGCGTGCGTGTGCGTGCTGCGTGT